GGTTCCCGAGATATTAACTTACCCGTGAAAAACTTTCACGAGGCCGTACGTGTTACCCGCGAGTAAAGGAAGGCTGAATTTGAATGGGGAAGGTTGAACGTGGGCAGAGGGTCATTACCCAAAAATTTCAGCCTCCTAGACTCCATGGTTCCCGAGATATTAACTTACCCATGGAAAACTTTCACGGGGCCGTACGTGTTACCCGCGGGTAAAGAAGGCTGAATTTAAATTTGAGGGATCACACGTGGGTGGGGACGTTAGGCCGTACACGTTACCCGTGGGTACGGGGAAGCTGAATTTAAATTTGTGGGGTCACACGTGGGTGGGAAACGTTACCCTAAATTTTCAGCTTCCTAGCTTTTGTGGTTCCCGAGTTGAAAGTTGCGGACAAGTTGCTGCGGACACAAACACACACACAAACAACCCCGTGACAATATGCGTTTCGTACTGCTGTTAAACAGCACAAAACGCATAAAAATGCACATAACTGACCCATCGCTCATTGAAGCACAGTTGTCCGCGGTGCCCGCTTTCAAATTTCGTACCAGCACCGATGTATCCCTATCACTGGTATTCTGCAAATCGGGAGATCGCCGTAAAACTCCAGCTACAATGGGGCCAAGTTGCGAATCACTATCTGAAATGATAAGCAAAAGATCATCATTTCGCCAAATATTCCCCCCCCCCTTCCCCAACAGTGCCGCACTGCCACCGCCTGATACACCGTCTATCCAAGTAAATCACGCTCTTTTCGATTTATTATGTAATCCACGTTGCGTTACTAATTCACCCTTCCCCTTGGACTACAAAAGCTGCAATCTGTGCCTATTTTATTTTTCTACGTTTCCATTGACAATGAGAGACGGTGCTTATCGGAAACAGTCTGACAAGCTGACAAGGCTGTCTATCTTCCCGGAAAGACGGGTTGGGAGTGGGGAAGTAGGGGGGAGGGGGGAGGGAGAAAGCGGTGAAAGGAGGGAAGAGGGCTTGAAAATTAAGTTGAAGATAAGAAACTTCCCCTAGGCATTTTTTGAACATTACACCCCCACCTCCCCCACTGATTTTTCTCAATTTTGTGGACAAAATCTCAAATTTCACAATGATTTCAAAGTGAAAAATAACTACAACTATAGTTATTATTATCATCGTTATTATCATGAATATTATTATCGTCATTATTATTAAAATTCCAACTTATTACTAATGTTACTATATTTCCCTTACTGTTACAGCTTTGTCTGTTATTACCACACTTATTGTTATTGTTGTTACTGTCAGTACTGTTATTATTATTACCATTATTATTATCATTATTGTTGTTGTTACTATTATTATTATTATTATTGTTATTATTATTACTGCTATTACCGTTGTTATCATTACCTTATTATTGTTATTTTTGTTGTTATTATTATCATTCTTATTATTATTGTTGTTACTACTGTTATTATTCTATCGCTACTTCTTGTCATTATTAATTACCATTAACATCATCATTATTATTATTGTTATTATTGTTATTGTTATTATTATTATTATTATTATCATTATTATTATTACTATTATTATTCAATCATTATTTCTATCCTGTTCATTAATACCGGCTTAGCAGAAAAGTCGCAGAAAAAGTTTTAGCTCTATCACTTAAGACCTACGCTTGGCTCTTAGGAGCACTGTCCCTCACTGCACAAGAATCGCAATAAAAACACGTACCTTCGCTTGTCGTTTCTTCTGCACCAACCGTGAAAACTGTCTTTTTCGTGCTCTCCTCCGGCACACAGGGTTTGGCTGCTTTCGCAAGGATATCGTTCAGAAGAGCTGTCCTCCAGTGACCGTCTGCATCCACCACCGTGCTATTTATCCTATCGGCAAGCCAAGCCGCATCGATTTTCAAATCTTTGCCAGATTCCACCATCCCCAACTTCGGAAGCGTATTTTTTGCAGGAATATTCAGCTCAAATTTTATAAAGTAGTAGTCATTTCATGCACCCAGAGCAGAGAAATATTAGGCACTGATCTGAAAATTCGACACCCACCAAGCTGCTGAAAGAAATACACTTGAATTTCATGATTCCAAAACAGTGGAGTTGAGAATTTCACAAAAATTCGAAACTCCAAATCCTAAAAAACCCATAAAATCTCAGCTCTCCATGCACTTCGCTGAAAATTTTCATTCATCAAGAGTTTCAGGAAATTGGCCTTAGAAAATCTTTCGCCCTATTTTATGCGTTTTTTGCAGCTATGCAATGCAGAAAACATATGTTGACGACTTTCAGGTATGCGTGATCCCCACGCATAGGCCCGTGAAAGTTTTTTGCAGGTTAGTTGCTAACTCGGGAAACGGCAAAGCTAGGAAACTGAAATTTTAAAGGGATATTTCCTGACAGTCCTGGCAACCAGTCTCAATTCGCGCTTAGCAAGAAGCATCTGCAGGAAAAAACCGGTGCCGTTAGTGGCAAAAACTTGCGGGAAACTATGCAAAAAACGCATCTTCGTATCGGAAGTCGGTGCGCTGGCCAGTTATTTGGGACTGAAAAATGCCCCACGAAAAGTAAATCAGCGACAAAAAACTACAGAGCAGGGAATCTAAGCTGTCATCTTCACAAAATTATTCCCGGCGAAAACGAAACAAGTTTAACTAATCACGCGATACCAGTGAAACCAATGGTGGGCTTAGCCAAACATCTGGTGGGATTTCCAGCCAAGATTATCTCGAAGACCAAAAAAAGCTCTCAATCACAGTCCGGATCTTAAGCCCGCTAGCAGATTCTTCGCAATGAGCGCCATCTCACTGGCAAAAAAAAAAGTCTCCCGAAATCCTCCATGGCCTATTCCGCACCCTTGAAATCTCCCTAAACCCCGCTTCGCACCGCACACGCGAAAACCCCGGAAAACTGCTGAACTTGCCCAACAAAACCCCAGGCACACCAATACGTCAAACTCCACCACCACGTGAGTCCCAGTCGCATCGCGTGTGTCTGCCGTTCGGGCACCCTCCACGTTTGTTGAGCTGTTTTCCAGCTGTCTCAATCTCTAACGACATACACAAACATCACACTATTTCTCTTCCCAGAATAACGCGGAATCGCTATAGCGCGAGAGAGTGGGCGGTCTATGCAAGTAACGAGCAGCGTCTTATACAGGTAACGAGCAACATCTCATGCAGCTGATTAGCCAATCTAGAATGTAAATGCGACGCACTACCAGGTACGGGTGAGGGAATGTTACCTGTAATCTGGTGTTTTCGTGTGCCTCACTCACTCGCACCGGCAACTGTTAAAACTCGGCTCGGCTCGGCCGCGCAAAATACACCCGTTTGTGCATCGATTGGACCAGGGATGCGCGACCTCTGGAAAAATGCGGGCCTGATTTACATGCTTAAGCTAATGGTCTGCATTTCTACAAAACGCGGGAGGTACATGCATGCACACACGCGCACACACACGCAGTCAAATTATTAACAGTATGAATAGTCGTTGTTTTCAGTTTAACACGTGCAACTACGTATCTTTGTCTCGACTTTCTCTAGCATGCGGGGGAAAGAGGTGTCAGCTGGGATGGTAGTGTTGCATCATGGCGCTCTCCATTGCCGGGTTGAAAGCGAGCGACAAAGTTCAATCACTTTCGAGCACATGCATGCACACACGCGCACGCACACACGCGCACGCACACACACGCACGCGCGCGCACACACGCACACGCATGCTCTCGACGTTATGCATTTATGCATTTGCATAAAGTGCAGAAGCGTATAAAAGCAGACGAGTTTTTATCAGGTTGTTCATCCAATAAAAAGATTGGCCAACGCACGGGCTGTCCGTGCGATGATGCGCTTTTTGCATAGTTCCTCGCAGCTTTTGTCACTATCGGTATCGGTTTTTTCGGCAGATCCTCTCAGATAAACAAATTTAGACTGGCCACCAAAACTGGCG